GGAAGATGCCAGCCGCCTCTGCGTGGCAGGGTCCAGGGTGTGGCCCCTTCACCTTCGCCGGTGAGCATGGTGATCTCTCGCGCGGCACGGGCGCACGTCCATCCCCCGCGGCGGGGCCCCTCTCCGAGGGGGGGCCGGGCGGTGCGGAGTGCGAACGCGACCCGGTCCCCCTCCCCGGCCGGTGCGACAGATGTGCGTCAGATCGCGGACCCTGTGGGGAGAAGAGAGCACCAGGATGGGGGGGGGGGGGGGCATGCCCGCGGGTGCGAGGACACGGGCTTCGGCGCGCGGGGCGCGGAGACCGGCCCCCGCTGGGCGTCCACAAGGGCGAGGATCATTCTAGAGCCGCACAGGCCCGTGGCGCGAGTGCCGCCGCCCCCCGCGCCGGCCTGCATGCGCACCTGAGTTCGCGCGCGAGCGGGACAAAGAGAGAAAGACAAAGAGGGGGGCGGGGGGATCCGCGGCCCTTCCTGCGCATTTGAGCCCCCCCCCCCCGCCCGGGCCCCCGCGCCGACCTCGGCTGCCCCGCACGCCCCCACAGCCGCAAAAGACGGGCCTCCGTGCCGGGCGCCCTCTGGGCGATCTTGAATACCACTGACCGGAGGGGGCCCGGGGTTAGACGCCCAGGCGAACCTGTCTGACGAGGCGCGGCCGTGATGAGAGATCGCGCTCCGCCCGGGGGGAAGAGGGGGGGGGCACAGCCGCCACCTCCGGGACCGGGCAGCAGGCGTGCCCGGGTCGCGCCTGGGGGAGCAGGGGAGGGACCGATCCCCGGCGGCTCTCCGGCCCACCCACGGCGCAGTGTGCCCCGGCGGCCCCGGGCCCGGCGCAGGCATCATCACCCCGGCGGGTGCCATCGCTTGGCCCCCCCCCCCCCCCCGCGCGCGTGCAAGGAAAGAAGCAGCCGGCCCTGGCACACACAAGCACGCACAACATATGCCGGCGACAGCGGCGGCGGCCCCCGGCAGGACCCGGGGTGACCTCGGTGCTCACGTGATGTGACATGCGGGCCGAAAATAAAGGGGCTAGCCCGACCCAGGCAGGGATCGAACCTGCGACCCCTCGCTAACTTGCTGGACGCAGTAGGAGGCGAGTGCTCTATCCACTGAGCTACAGGGCGAAGGTGTGGGCCGCAACGTGGCTATTTATGCATGTTCCCGGCGGCGGCGCTGAGGGGTGTGTGCGTAGGCCCCCCCCCCCGGGGACCGGGAAAGCGGGCGAGCAGCCAGGGACAGTGTTGTTGCTTCTGGCTCGGCCCGCCTCCGCTGGCGCCCGCCAGGCGCCCGCCTTTTGTCTGCCTCTCTCTCTCTCTTCTCCCGCGCCGAGAAAGGGGGGACAGGGGGGGCGCGCGAGAAAAAAAAAAGCGCACCCCGGCAGCCGCGCGAGATCGTCCCAGCCTGGCCCCCCGCCCCCCGCCCCCCGCCCCCTTCCCCTGGCTGCCACATTCCTGCCGGGCCGGGGGCCGGGGGGCCGGGACCGGGGCCGAGGGGGGGGGGGGGTAATGGGGCGGAAGGCCGGATGACTCGTCAGCCCCCCCCACCCGGGAGGGGGGAATGCGCCAGCTGGCGGCCGGCGCCGGGCGAGAGGGGACGCCTCGTACACCCCCCCCCCGCGCGCGTGCCTGGCGTGTGTGCGCATGCGAGTGCGCCCCCCCCCCCCCCCCCCCGCACACATACACGCACACGGAGAAGCACACACGCCTGGGCCCGTCGTCGCGCCGGAAGCTGGCCAGGGAGCCCCAGCGGCCGGCGCTCCCTGGTCCGCGGGGCACGCGCCGGCCCGCTCCCCGCCCTGACAAACCAGAGGGCGCGAAGGGGGAAAAGTGGCCGAGAAATATTCCCGATGGTATATATGTCTACTCGTGTGTATGTGTCCGTGTGCATGTGTTGTACAGGCGTGTGGACCATCTTGACCAGCGGATGCGCATATGCATGGTCCTGTGGCCGGCGCCCCGCACTATGCCCGATCACTGCCCTCGGACCGCGGGCGTGAGCCCGCGCGGGCAACACCCCTTCTGCCGGGGGCAGGGGGAAGAGGCCAGCCCTCGCGCGCCGACTGTCGCGCCCGTGTACCTTCCTCTACGTCAACCGCGGTTCAAGCGGATCGCCAGGAGGCGGGGGGGGG